TTACGACCCCGCGGGCTCCATCGGCGACTCCGAAGGGACTCCAACCGCCCGGCTTTCGGTGGAGGAACGCGGCGGCAGGAGGAACACGGCGACAGGAGGAACACAGGGGAACGGACACGGCGACAGGAGGAACACGGCGGCAGGCAGGACAGGAGGAACACGAGGACACGGCGACGGAGGAAACACAGGCGAGGATACACGGCACGGCGACAGGGGGAACGAGGGCAGCACGGCGGCAGGAGGAACACGGCGGCAGGAACACGGCGGCAGGAGGAAAACGGGGACAGGAGGAAACGCGGCAGGAGGAACACGGCGGCAGGAGGAACACGGCGGCAGGAGGAACACGGCGACAGGAGGAACACACAGGAGGAACACGGCGACAGGAGGAACACGGTTCAAGGAACACGGCGACAGGAGGAACTTCAATACAAGAGTTGCAATATCATTAAAGTCCCCCCCCCCTCCTCCCCGCTAAAAAAAAGAAAAACAAAACAATGTAACAGGAAATGGATTCGTCGCATGACGTTAAAAAGTTGACGATTTCCAGGAAAATACTAAACATTTTAAGGGAAAATCCGACACCCGAGTTTAATACACCGTAATTGAAATGAACCCCGGGACGTCTGCGCTTGTGTAAATGCGAGAGGGAGAAGATGATACAAGCGGAGGAACTAGAAGCAATGCGTCTCTGTTTGGGCCCTTGCTTAATGCGCTCTAAGTGCTGGATCTTAGGAAACAGGTGAGGCTCTCTCTGTCTTGTAAGTTTCCGGGGGATGATGAGCGCATAAGTGGGCTCCAGGTGAAGGCCGGCGCCGGAAACAGGGCGTGTGTGCACTTAGCGTTGTGGTTCTGACATTACTCCTTCTATGCATGTCTCTTTCTCTGTCTGTCTCTGTCTCTGTCTGTCTCTCTCTCTCTCTCTCTCTCTCTCTCTCTCTCCCTCTCTCTCTCTCTGTCTCTCTCTCCCTTTCCTCTCTCTCTTCACTCTCTCTCTCTCTCTCTCCCTTTCCTTCCTCTTTCTTCTCTCCTCCTCTCTCTCTCGCTTTCCTCTCTCTCTCCTCTTCTCCTCTTCTCTCTCTCTCTTCTCTCTCTTCCTCTTCTCTCTCTCTCCTTTCCTGCTCTCTCTCTCTCTCCTCTCTCTCTCTCTCTCTGCTCTCTCTCTCTCTCCTTCTCTCTCTCTCCTCTCTCTCTCTCTCTCTCTCTCTCTCTCTCTCTCTCTCTCTCTCTCTCTCTCTCTCTCTCTCTCTCTCTCTCTCTCTCTCTCTCTTCTCTCTCTCTCTCTCTTCTTCTCTCTCTCTCCTGCTCTCTCTCTCTCTCTTCTCTCTCTCTCTCTCTCTCTCTCTCTCTCTCCTCTTCTCTCTCTCTCTCTCTCTCTCTCTCTCTCTTCTCTCTCTCTTCTCCTCTCCTCTTTCTCTCCCTCTATCATTTCGAACTCTCCCAATAGAAAAAACACAAGCTAGCGACCTTCCAAGGTATAAAAAATAGAGCGCGTGCCGGGAGGAAAATCCGTACATGTAGAGCCAGGACTGGAGTGTTAACAACTTTCCGTTCGAAGCCTTGAGAATGTGGAGAATGTTGATAAAAGTCGGGAAAGAAAATTGTTTTCCGCATATCTCTCCGAAGAAAACTTTTTTTTTCCCTTCTTCTAATATTATTTCGGAAGAATTTAGACTTGTACCACGTAAGACTGTTCCCACTGTAAGAGTTTGGAGATTATCTGTGAGATTATAGATCGTCTTTAGACTTAATCTACCAGCACCCGGGGCTTTGGTATATTAATAATTGTAAACTTGAAACGCCATTGGTTATAATAACAATAACCAAACGACGAAGAAAGTAATTAAATATGCCGATACATAAATTATCAAATCAAAATAATTCACGAAGCGTTTCGAAACAGTTAAGGTTCGACTTCCTACGCAACGTGCGAATTACCACAACTGTCCGAATAGTGCGTAAGTAAGAACAAGTCAAGTATATGTGTTTTTCACGCTTTAAGCATTACTATGAGCGTGAAAGAGAACAGAAGTGTGAACATCGAGGTTTCGAGTTTCTTTTGAATATAAAAGCGTTTACGAAGGTCTTTCCTACCGGGGTGGAAGTGATGATTTATAGCTATCTATATATTCACGAGCGAAGGGCAATTTGCATATGTATCTGTAAGTTTTCTATATCTTTTGTGTAACTGAAATATATTTGTGGGATTAGAGTTTATGATAAGAATCGGCCGATCCAAAAGACAAGTTCGGATGATGTATGAATAGTGATTCAGATAAGTGTGATACAGAGGACGGTTTAGTTTTAATTTGAATATAAAGAGCAGGCTTAGTGAATGCAGTAGCTATGATCTTCATAATGGCCGTCATCTTATTGCAATTATTAATGATTATAATAATTTCCAGCAAAGTATCACCGTAATCTTTGATCTTAATTACTATCATCACCAACAACGGTATCTTAAATATTGCCATATTTATCTTTTTTATAATTCTATTATCCGCAGCTCATGGCCAAAACCACGTGGTTCCGTCGCCATCAACGGCCTGGAACGTATCACACACACACACACACACACACACACACACACACACACACACACACACACACACACACACATTTACTCATTTCTCACAGGGTTTCAACGGACGTTCGTTACAGCACATCGTGACGTCATGAGCCCGGTAACAGCATAACAGCGGCGACTGCGATACGTTCCAGTTCCGTTTTGACGCGCCGGGCTGGTCTCCCCCCCCCCACCCCCACCCCCCCGTGCCACATGGAGCTTCAAACTCCGTCGTCACTCTTATTGATTCTCGCTTTCACGCCCCCCCCCTCCCACTCCCGCCCTCACGCAGGGGTAGGTAACACCAGCGGGTTTGCCGCGCCCCCGTCACGCGAGCGTTACGTGACGGCGGCGGCCCGTGGGTGTCCAGCCGCCCTCCACCGTCCTCGGTCCTCGCCCTTCCTTGCCCCTGCTCCCTTCCTCCTCCTTCCCCTGCTCCTTGTCTCACTCCCTGGTTTCATTCTACCTCTCTTTCTAACCCACTCCCTGTCTTCTCTTTCTCTTCTTCATGCTCCTATCCTCTCCCTTCTCCTATTCCCCCCTCCTTTCCCTTCTCCCTGCCGTATCTGCCTGTCCCCTTCTCTGCTTCCTCCCTACTTTTGTCTCTATCTTTGCCCCTTCATTGCTCTTCTTCTCCCTACACCTTTCTTTGCCCACACCTTGTCCACCTTCGCACCTATCCCTGCCCCCTCCCTGCTACCTTCTCATCGTTTTTTTTTTCTCCCTGTGCCTCTCCTTGTCTGTTCTTCCGTCTCACCTCTTCCTAGGGCTTTTCCTCTCCCTGCCTCTGCCTTACCTCCTTCTTTCTCTCTCCCTCTCCCTGCTCTCTGCCTGCCTCTGTTTCCTCTCTTTCTTCTCCTCTCCCTGCCTTTGTCTCAGCCCCCTCCCTGCTTTTTTCACCTCTTTTGTTTCTTCTCCCTCCCTATCTCCGTCTAAGCCCCCTCCATGCCCTTCTCCCTTCCTTCTTCCTGCTCCTTCCCTGCCTCTATCCCTCCTCTCTTCTCCCTCCCCCTGCCCCCCCTCTCCCACGGTGTGCTGGAGCCGATGTGAAACACTTTACCGGAAGGGACGCGCCGCACACCCCCTCCTCGCCCCCTCCTCACCCCTCCACCCTGCTGGCCTTGCTAAATCATCCCCTTCCCTCTCCCTTGCCCAGAACCTCATGGCAAGAGTACTACCCTCATACCTCATGGCAGGGGCTTGGTCCTTACCGAAACCCCTCATGGCAGAAAGGGGCGGTGCGCTGGGTTGTCCGTGGCCTTTCTTGGTATGATGGGGCGAATTTCTTCCTTTCCCCTTCTCTTTTTCTCTCTTCTCTCTTCTCTTCTTCTTCTCTTTCTCTCTCTCTCTCTCTCTCTATCCCTATCTCTCTATCTCTCTTTTTCTCTTTCTCTCTCTCTCTCTCTCTCTCTCTCTCTTCTCTCTCTCTCTCTCTTCCCTTCCCTCCTGGCCTCAGAACCCGATAAGAACTGTCCTCCCCCTCCCCCTCTCCCTTTCCTAGTTAACCCTCGCCGCTTTCTTTATTTTACCTCACTCTTCTCGCTCTCGTTCATGTGGTGAGTCGATATGAATCGCCAGTGACTCAGCTCTCCCTCTCCCCCCTCTCTCTCACCCTCTCCCTCCCCCGTATCTTCCCTCTCCCATTCCTCCTTCCCTCATTTCTTATTCCCTCTCCACTTCTTTACCCTCCTCCCCTTCCTCCATATCCCCCTTCCCTTTCCTCATTTTCTTATTCCCCTCTCCACTTCTTTACCCTCCTCCCTTCCTCCATACCCCCTTTTTCTCTCCCCTTTACTCTTTCCCCATTTCTTATTCCCTTGTCTTCCCCTCTCCACTCTTCTACTCTACTCCCTTCCCCCATTCTCCTCTCCCTTTCCTCCTTCTTACTTCCTTCTCTTCCCCTCTCCACTCCTCTACTCTCCTCCATCCTCTTTCTTATTCCCTCTCTTCCCTTCTCCACTCTACGCTTCTCTTTCCCTCCCTCCATATCCCCTTCCCTCCCCTTTCCTCCTTCCCTCATTTCTTACTCTCTTCTCTTTCTCCTCCTCTTCTCCATATCCCTTCCCTCTCCCTTTCCTCCTTCCTCATTTCTTACTTCCTCCTCCCCCCCTTTCCTCTCCCCTTCCCTTCCTCATTTCTTATTCCCCTTCCCTTCCCCTTCCCCATCCCTCCCCCTCCCCCCCACTCTTTCATCCACCGCCCCCCTCTTCCCGAAAGTACCCATGAGTAACGTCGAAGCGTGAGTGACGGCGTGAGTAAGCGCTGTTCCTTTCGCGAGTAAAACGGGTCACAGGGAAGTCCCCGAAGGCGTCTCTCGGCTGCGTGTGTGGGCGGCCTCGGTCTCGGTCTGGGAAGGGGGGGGAAGGAGCGTGGGGGTGACGGGGAAGGAGTGGGAGGGGGTGGATGGGGGTGGGGGAAGGGAGTTGGGGTTGGGGAG